TGTCCGGTTATGTCTCGGTGCAAAAATAACAAAGTTATACTTACCCGAAGCTCCAAGCCGGCTTCTTCTAAGGGCCCCGTTCACACCAGACAGTGCATTCCGGCCCGAACGTACTGGATCGCATTGCGGCCAGCTCACAATGTTGTGGGGCGGTCCATTGAAGTGAGTGGCACCATAGCCACGCCCTCCGGTCGCACGGAAGCGCAAAGCACATCAATGATTGTGGTCTGGTCAGAATAAAATGCTGCAAGCACTTTTTTTTCTGACTGGACCAGAACAGGCACACACAACAAAGTGAGCCGGCCGACATGAGATCCAGTGCGTTCTGGCCAGAATTGGGCTGGAACGAACTGACTGATGAGAATGGAAAACTTCCAACGTCTCTCCCCCTCCTCTGCAGTGGTCCAAGGTCCTGTAAATTGTCACATAGACAGTGCACAGACATGAGGAAGATGCCAATGCTGCAGGGAGGTGGAGACAGGCTGGAGGGCGCACTGTGACAGCTAGGCACTTCAGATGAGGATAACTGACACAACTGAGCACTTAACCCTTGCAGTGCTCCCTCCAGCCTCTCCTCCTAAGCTGCAACAATGGTATCTCCCTCAGGGTCCTCACATCCTATACACAGTAGATAGAATGTGATGACTCGCAGGGAAGACAGGCTCCAGGGACCGGTCTAAGAGCCAGCCGGCTCCGAGCACAGGTAAAAATGTTATTTTTGCACCTAGACAAAAACAAACACTTAATCCTTGCAGTGCGAGGTCTCCCCCTCCACTACCGTGGTCTAAGGTCCTGTGATCCATTACATTCTATATACAGGACGTGAGGACTCAGAGGGAGTTTGCTCAGAGTTCTGCTTTAAGCATCAATATAGAACATGATAAAACCTTTATAATGCCCTTCCATAGCGAGACAAGCAGCTTCTCACCCAACCCGTCTCAGCTATGCAGAGCGTGCTGCGTACAAAAGATGCTTACAGTTTGTATGCTATGGACATTCTGAACTACAATTGTGTGTCCACTGTGGGGTGTGGTAGCCGCATGCCTCTCCCCATGAGGGCAGGTAAGTTACCCAACACCCCCACATGGGCACTGAGTACAAGGCCGAGACCCCTCTTCTTGAAGTACTTTCCCGCTGCAAGGAGCACAGACTGAAGTCAGTACTCGGCCTTTTGGCTAAGATCAAGTGTAGTATCTGTTATCAGTTTCCGTTGGGGAAAAGAACCGTCTTTTCAGGGGGATGGTTACTTAGTACTCGCTGGAGTGAAGGTTCGTGCTGGGCTGCTTCCTGTGAGAGGGGGGACAGCCTGGTATACGGCCTCCTGATGGAGCAGGTGCTTGCTTGGTCTGGAGCGGCAGAGGCCCGTGGTGCTGTGCCCTCTGGAGGTGGCAGAGAATTACACTGGGTGTGGAACCCCAGCACTAATTCACTGACACAAGGTCACGGCACCTATTGCATTTTCTGCACAACGCCTCTTAGACAGGCCTTCTGACTAGTCTGGGGCAATATTTTTGCACTCCGGCCCCTAAGGCCTGTCAGCGTGGTGCACTGGCACTTTAGATTTATTTAAGCACTACATGCACGATTGGCATGCTTTTTTTGATTGAAATTTGACCCACAGATGCTGAGGGTGCGGGTACCTTCGGGGCCCATTCCTGACATAGGGAGGAGATTCGGTGCCCTCATATAGGGTTCTCTGTCTCCTCCCACCTGTGGGGGTCTCTCTTCGGAAGATCCCCCCAACCTAGTACTGTGAGGGACCTGTTTCGGCAGGTATCACGGGCTTTCAAAAAACAAAAAAAACTGAAGTCAGTACTGTTGAGATACATACACTCGGCCCTCTTGGGGTAAGGCAGGGATGTCTAAACTGCGGCCCTCCAGCTGTGGAACTACAAATCCCATGAGGCTTTGCAAGATTCTCAAAGCCACAGACATGACTCCCGGAGAGAGATGCATCATCGGATTTGTTTCACCACAGCTGGAGAGCCAGAGTTTGGACATCCCTGGGGTTAGGGGTCGTTTGTAAACAAAAACCACACACGGCACAGACTTGGGAGATATTTTAGGATAGGTTTGTCCTGTGCTCAAAATACACATCTGGAGACGTCCAGTTTTATAAATGTGTATGCAGATCTTGCATGCAATGCCTGTACTGCATTACAGTACATAAGTGCTCAGCAGTATATGATTATTGGATATTCCCAACATAAGAAAAATAATTTAAGATAATACAGAACCGTTTCTGTATAAATTACTATATTCCATAATAAAATAGGTTATATATTTAGTTTCCGCCTATCCTGCCTCTAGCCTATCATCTGTACAAGAGGTTAGCTTTTAATGGTAACTCTTCCTAAAACCATTCAATCGGACCCTGGGACAAGCCCTGTGTTTGTATTGCCCACAATCCAGAGAACGATTGAACTGGGGGACGGGCAGTGCAGGTCAGAAACCCCATTCGTTGCATAAATTAGATAAAATTTGGTTATTTTTGTGTCTCCGCTTCTCCTGTGCAAAATCACGTCAATGAGCATTCTCAGTCAGTGCCGGTAGCAGGTCAGCGACCGAGTCTACATAGAAGTCGGGGACCATGGAGAGCGAGCCGTTGTTTTGGTAGGCCTTCGCATCTTCCAGACTGGAGAAGCCTGTGAGGGTCAGGAGTGTGCGGATGCCACATGTAGAACCCATCTGAATGTCCGTGTCCAGGCGATCTCCCACCATGACAGTCCTGGAGGGATCCAGGCCACATTCTTTCACCACGCAGTCGTAGAGGAACGAGCTGGGCTTTCCAATAATGTGGGCTTTGCGATGAGCGGCAATCTCCACCGCTCTTACCAGACAACCGGTTCCTAAAAAGACGACACAAGAAAAATCACACAAAAGGCTCTTGAAGCAGAAATGAAGACTAAACTTGTACTTTTGCATAGCGTAAAAGGAGGATTATAAACCCTGTTGGCGTCTTTTTCCCCTCTGTATTCCTTTGGGGGAAATTTTCCTTTACTTCCTGTCCAATCGCTACAACAGGAAGTGAGAGGGAATCCCTCCAAAGAGGGAAATCCCTGGTGGTCAGTATCCACTTTGGAAGATTTCTCACCTATTCCTGTACTGGTGACAAAGCAAATTTGGGATTATCTTTCAGTGATAACGATGCAATGTCCATAATCTTTCTAATCAAACAAAAATTAACTTTCATACCCCAATAAGCAGGGCTTGAAAATTCACATCCTCTCGTCTGTGACGAGAGGATGCCGGAGCCGGATGAGTAGCTTCACGGCCGGTGGAATTAAACAGCCGGCCAGGAGCTTCTTGAATGGCGGTTTACATTCAAGCGACTGGGCGTCTGGAGACGCCCGATCGCTTGTATTTGCTGCAGTTTTACCCCCTCCTCCCCCGCTGTCTCTGCCGTTGCTGGTCCCAAGATCCGCTGTGCCCGGTGTGGCTGCTCTGTCACAGGAGATCAATACACGATCTCTCTCTGACCTACTCTCCGTCCCTGAATGCAGGAAGTGATGCATATTAAATCACTTCCGAGACGGGCTGCATCTTAATGGGAAAGGTGCAGCATTCCTGGGAGGGAAAATGGTAGAAAGACTGGAGGAGCTTTTAAACTAGAAAGTGGGGGGGAATACTGTCACTCTCCAGCTTCAGAAGCTGGTGAAGTAGATCTCTGCTTCATCAGCTTCTCTGGGGGTCCTTAGGTGACATTAGGAGTCTTGGAGACCCCTGATGTCTCCATAAAGAGGACCTGTCATGTAAATTGGCTATCACATAGGGAGCTTCTTAGCCCCCCATGTGATAGCAATAAAGTTAAGTATTACAATTTGTGTTTTTTTTTTTAAAGTTCCCCACCCTCGACATACACACGCAAATATGCGTTGGGTGCACCCACGTGCGAAAACGACGATTGTGCCTCTGGGAGTCTTGCCTGTAACTGCCAGTCTTGCAATGCCTCATGGGACCTGTAGTTCCACAACAGCTGGAGTACCGAAGTTGCCCACCCCTGATCTAGCAGCACTAGAATATCCCTAAGGGTATCATAATCTTACTTTCCAATGCAGTAATTTTTTTACGGTTTTAATCTTTGTGCCTTTTATAAAGCATAGGACGCTTAGGATTTGGAAAAGTGCATTTAAAAAAAAAACAAACAAAAAAAAAACTTTTATGAGATCACTTTATAAAGTAATTGAGTAATGACATATTGCCCACACGATTAGTCCACAGACCCCGGCCCTGCATGCTAGAAGTACAAATTGCATCCTCTGCAACCTGCCTATTGTTCAAACGGATACCAACTGTGTTGCAAATGAGGACGTTTGGTAACATGGCGTTGGCTAATGCCTAGCTACTGAACAAATAAGACTCGTGTGACCCATTACCTCTGAGGGAAGGCTGTGAGGACAGAAATAAAACCACTTCCCCTGTCATAGTGACTTTGCAGAGCTGACCTTTCCTGATTATGACTTGGCAGTCACCAGCTTCCTTGCGCTGGAATCACCTTGTATAGTCATGTGCTGGGTCCTCCACACACCCAAAGCACATGAGATCACCTACAATGAAATTCTGGGAGACAACTGTACTGTGTATTCTCCATGTCAGCCAATAGTACAATGCCAGACAGGACTTCTGCCTTGCAGCAGTGGGGGGGTTAATGGGTCATTATCTGCATGGAGTTTGCATGATCTCCCTCTGCTTGTGGGTTTCCTCTGGGTACTCCAACCACATGGCCGCCACAGGGGTGCTGACGACCTGTCAGCACCTGTGACCTCCTTCTACAACCTATGGCCGGTATACAGGTACCTATGACCATAGAGATGACCTCCACCCATGGGCCCAGCATGTTATCCCCGGCCAACCGTAGCAATGAAGAGGCCTATGTACCCGGGATGGTTCGGCCCCCCTCCAGGGGAAGCCTGGTGTCCGTGTTGGTGGCGATGAACAGGCAGTCGGGGTCCTGCAGGTAACGGAGAGCCCGGGTCAGCTTCATGTAATTGAAGTGCTCGTCGAACCCGACTACCACGGCCTTGACCTCGGGGTCCGGGCTCAGTGCCGCCCAGTCCTTCATCCCGCCGGTACCAGCTCCGGGGCCCCCGGGACTGCCTCGTCTCCCCGCCACAGCACGCCGTCGCAGTCGAAGAGCACGGTGTCCACCGAGGCAAGGAAGCTGCGGGAGAGGTCCCCACTCAGGCGGCTGCACTTGGAGGCGGCCATCATTCCAGTGAGGACAGCGTGTCCTCGTGCGCCTTCTTTCCCGCACGCCCATTGGATGCGGGACGTCTGACAGCCGTAGCTGATTGGTTCAGGCGTGACACTAGCGTGCTCTGCTGTAGATGGGCCGAGCTAACTTGATAGGTTGCCCTTGGCAACCGGCTGTAAGTGAAGAAACATGGGCGCGGCCATTATTGATATTGGCCTCTCTCTTAGTAGTCTCTCATCTGAGGCTGAAATAAGCATAAAGCCAGTGAACTCTGAACTTCCATCCCGAGTGCTTGTTCCAGGACAGTGATTACTAGAGAAAGTAAGAATTAAGATGACAACCCTTAGGACCCATGCGCATGGGATACAAGACCTCTGACCAATCACACAGCACAAGGAGAGAGAGCGCAGCAGTGGCTGGTCTTTATTACAGGAGGATCCTGCACAGATGCAAATTGCAGAAAATGATTCATGATAAATTACTGCATCTGGAATAAATACATAAAGCACAACAAGATTCAAGAATCCACATGGCTCTTGTATTTAGACCAGGTGGGGGGCAAACTCCGGCCCTCCAGCTGTGGTGAGACTACAAATCCCTTGATGCATCTGCCTCTAGGAGTCATGCCTGTGGCTGTGAGAATCTTGCAATGCCTCATGGGATTTGTAGTTTCACAGCAACTAGAGGGCTGGAGTTTGCCCACCTCTGATTTAGACAATATCAGCTTATCACAGAGTTAAGCTGAAATGTTTTGGTCCTTGGAGTTCAGCTAGCAGCTTTCATCAGAGAACGTTCCACTGAGCAAAGGAGCAGCACCTTGTACACACAGAAAGTGACTTCTGCCATCTATAGGCTCTTCTGCCCATATCAAAAATGGCCGCCACGTCTTCCAGGGCGTCTCCTGCGTGCCACCGCTCACCTCACTCTACGGGCAGCCGTTCGCCCCCGTTGTTATGACGACACGGTCGTAAAAACCGCCATTTTGCGCTGTGCCTCAGCCGCTGTGCGCTCGTTTCGTTACGACAGAGGAGGAGAAGTGAGCCCTGGCTGGGATGAGCTCGGAGCCGGGGGTGGGGGAGACGGAGGAGGCAGCTCCCAGCAGTCCGCTCAGCCTAGCCGAGCCCGCGGCGGCCCTCATCTGCCACTACAGGGAGGAAGGTGAGCGTGGCCCTGACACCCGGGCACGGGGGACCTTATTGAAGCTGCACATGTGGGCGGCGCGCCCAGTGTTGTGTGTTTGTTATGACAGCTCTCCATCACCAACTTCACTTTATTATTATTATCACTTTTTTTTTTTAACCTTAAATTCGTAGCCGCAAATTTCATCAAAATCATTTTTATAAAATAAACTTTATTATTTGTAATAATACCAGCATCAGCTGATATATAGGAGGCATTGCACTCCATATATTAAAGGGTACATTCACTGTGAATGGGTACATTTTCACTGGGAAAATGGAATTGCCCGCTCAGATCTGGCCTCCCCTCTCTCCCCAAACCACCCCCCGTGCGCTCCCTACTTTTGGCGATCGCTCTTCCCCCGCCGGTATGGGTGTACTATCCGTACGCTATGCTGATCCATAGCGCAGGGATTTGGAATTTTGCTCGCCAATTGCAAGCACTCATTGGTCATCGTGGTCACCTGACCGTGCGGACCAATAAGAAGCGCTTCTCGTTGCTCAACACAAAGCATGACAGCAATGCACGTTCCCGCTACACTCAAGCTGAATGGGGCCTTAGAGTTGGCAGCCGGTGTACTGCCGAGTTTTCCAACTTGTTACGTCCTTTGGAGATTTCGACAAACTGACGTTAGTGCGCATGCGCCAGCCATGGCATTTTTACCATCCTCGTCGACCTCTCCAATTGCCTTTGGGTGCCCGCGCAGGCGCACTGACGCAAACTGGAGAACTTGATATTGCACTTGAGTGGCGGCGCAGGTGCACTGATGGCAGTTGGAGATCTCGACAAGTTGGACATTTCGATAGAACACAGGTAGGACAGGCTCATGATCACTGTGGCAGGCGATCACCTGAGCGGGAGGGGTTGTGGTGGTGCCATTCAAGTCAATGGCACGTCAACCACGCCTCCTGCCTGCACCAGAACGCATGGCAGAGCAGTGCCACGGGCGACAATTCCTTTTCCACGTTCTTACTTTGGTCATTAATTCCCCAAATCCTTTTCTCTTTGTGGAACTTTGTGTTCATGGCTTTCTTCCTGTTCATACATTGTTCCCAGTGTCTTAGATTGCTGCCCAGGGATTCTCGGCCGATGCATTGTACCTGAGGGGCGGCCTTGGCCAGACTAATAGAAGAAATTAGACTTTTGGGGTGTGTGCGGTTTTACAACAACAAAGCATAATGACCTCGGAACCTGCGAAGAGCCAAATATTCCACACGTAGATTCCAACGTTGTAAAATTCCCCCCCCTCCAGTGATATATTTTATGCCAGGCTTTGGAGAAAATGGAAATGATTTTCCTCTATGCCAGATGAGGCGTGGCAATGGGTGGCAGTGATTCCCGGCATTGTGGGTGTAGATGGGGACAACGTCCCCATTGAGGTTTCCTCTCTGTAGTCACTCTTGGCAGATTGCATACAGAGCCGCCCCCTGAGGGTCATTATGTATTCCAGTCCTCACAATGCTTGTTTACCAACCTGGGATTGAAATAATATTCTTTACTAGCACATAGTGTGATCGCTGGGCATGGTCTTGCTAAACGCTGGGGGTGACAAATCTATTACGGAATTCAGGAGCAAGTCTAACCAATCCAGGAGCCGGCAGGATTTTTTTTTTTTTTAGGAGTCGGCTCTATTGATAAGAATTAGAAAAAAAAACTCAAACGTTGGGCGCCAGCTGTCATTTGAGGAGCATCGGCGACCTGGCTCCTGGGATTGTCCAACCTTGCGCTAAACTATTGTCTGAATGGCCAATGATTACAGTCCTAGGATCATTCAGCTAAGTTAAAGAAGAACTCCAGACAAAACTTTTATTAACCCATAAAGTGGGGCTACCCCTGCCCCCCCACCTGCTTTGTTTTGTCTAGGTAGTGATAAAAAAAAAGTTGTACTCACCCGAAGCTGGCTTGCTCCTAGACCTGTCCCTGGAGCCTCTCTTCCCCCTCCTCTGCAACGGTCTAAGGTCATGTAAATCATCCTGTTCTGTACACAGTGTATAGATGTGAGGAGGCCGAGGAACATTCCAGTGCTGTAGCGCAGGCTTCAGTGATTGGAGAAGTAAGGCGCCAGCTCAGCAGTTCGGGTGAATTTTTTTTTTTCTAGAATCTAGACAAAAACTAGCAGTTAACCCTTGCCTGCGGGAAGGGGGGATGTTTCGGGGGCACCTGTAAGGGTTATTAGAGGTTTTGCCCGGAGTTCTTTTTTAACGTTTAATTCTGGGGAAAACAAAAAACTCCACTTGCAGATGGGCTGCCTCAGCACTGCAAGGGTTCAATGCTCATTTAGGTGTAGGGTACCTGGGAAAAGCTCTATACTTGTCTGATCCTTGCTCAAGGAGGCTCCCTCCAGGCTATGAGACGTACCCCCAGCCCCCCAATAAGAGTATAAAGGATGTAGGTTTTGAATGCTATCTTTCTGCTGTAATATTTCCTAATAAGGGCATGATTGTTGGAATGATCATTACATTATGTACAATTACATTAGTATATGTAATGTTGTTTGATTCAGAGGATAGATATAAGAATGCATTAAACTTGGTTAGATTTTCTTTTATAGAAGGGTGGAACATTCCTTCTCCCAAACGCTCTTCTGCTGGTCAGTTAGGTAGGCTATACGCACATCAAATTTCAGCTGGTTCTTGATGAGCTGTCCGATATTTGATGCGTGGGTGCCACTCTCAGCACCCTTCCAACAGGCATCCCTCAATCAGCTGATTGCAGGAGCATATTGGTAAATTCTCGGCCAAACAACAATCTATCACATCATGCTTCTGAGAGCTGATTGGGGAATCTTCTGCTGTTTCAGGTATTCTGATGCTGGCCGCTGTCAGAATACCTGAACAGAGCCTACAGTTGATTGGCTGCTAGCTCTGTTTGGCTATTTTGACAGCGGCCACCATCCAAATATCCGAAACAGCAGAAGATTCCTCAATCAGCTCTCGGAAGCATGATGTGATAGTTTATTTGTTCATCTGGCAGGTTGAACAAAGAAAATGTATGTATACCTGACTTTAGGCTGGTCAAGTTCTTCTCTGTACTGGGGTTGTGTGGCACTACTGATCTCACTAAAGCGTAACAGTACCTTGTTTTTACAATCTTATTTTATGTACTAATGTCTCTGGATGATATTGGACAAATATAAAAGAAATCTATTTCCCCTTGCACAGGAAGACCGGTTTATCTGCACCCTGTGCTGGCAACCTTTCCTGTCAGTGGTATGAAGAATAGATCCAGGTGCTGCCTGCTGATAACACCCTCCTTACAGACCAGTCAGGGGATTCATTATTCTTCTCGCCATCTACTGATAAGCTCAATCACAACCTCCCTTTGTGTGTAGTGCTAGACTGACAGCTCCATTGAGACCGGGGCTGGGGAATTGTACAGCTCCCACCCTGACAGATGTACAATAAAAATGAGCTTTCCTCTTATAATGGAAAGCAATGAACCCGGAGAATCCGTTGGCATAAGATTGCTGTGCCCTGGCTTGGCTCACAACCCTTCTGTTAATTGGAGGCAGCACATACCATCGGCTTGTCACATTAGGAGTGAGTTGTGTTATTATTATTATACAGGATTTATATAGTGCCAACAGTTTGCGCAGCGCTTTACAACATAGGGAAGATATAATTACAATACAATTCAAGAATAAATGGTAAGGAGGACCCTGCCCGTGAGGGTTTACAATCTAGAAGGAGGGGCAAGTGATAAATGAGGAGGTAGCTGTGTGGGGATGAATTGTTTGAGAACGTGATGGTTGAGCGGTTAGTTTGAGGTGGGATAAGCTTCCCTGAAGAGATGAGTCTTAAAGGATCGTCTAAAGGCAGTCATAGTGGGAGATAGACGGACAGGTTGGGGTAAAGAGTTCCAGAGGATGGGGGAGACTCTAGTGAAGTCCTGGAGGTGAACATGGGAGGAGTTGACGAGGGAGCTGGAAAGCAGGAGGCCTTGGGAAGAGCGGAGGGGACGGTTAGAGTGATACTTTGAGATGAGGTTGGAGATATAGCCGGGGGCAGAGTTGTGGATGGCTTTGTAAATGATTGTTATTATTTAGAATTGTATCCTTTGTGGTTTCATTGGTGAGGATTCTTTTCGGCGACTGCTATAGTTTTCCTAACATGAGAGCACAAGTCTTTGCTGACTTCATCCTGAAAATGCCCTTTGTTGCAATAAACAGTTACAACAAATACATGTTCACAACAGTTTGTGTTGTTGTACAAAGTATCGGTTATGGGAAAATTATTTGTGTTTATATACAATTTACTGTATGATCCAGTTCAGTCTACAAAGGCAAAACAAGAAACCCCAAATCGGGATCTGAAGTTAGTGACACTGTTGTGGCATTGGAAAGAAAATCAGGCAAAATGGCATCTGTGGGTGGCCCTGCTGGCACCACCCGGCTCAAAAAAAGAAATGTGTTCAATCTGCATTTGTTGAAGGAGCTAGGTGGTAATTTATCAGACGTGCAGGGATTGCATCCAATCAGCTGCAGGTGTTATTCATTTATTCTGACAGCTATGGGCACCAGCTGTCAGAATACTATAGCCGGCAGTGGAGATGACCTCATCCACGTTGTTTAGCATGCTGAGCGTTGTGGCAGGAGAGCGCTGCGAGTGGCCGGCACCGCTCAGCCTCCTGTCACAGATCAGAGAGCGGCGGAGACAGCCATCGCTGTCACAGGAGGCTGAGCTCACCGCTCGCTCAGCGTCCTGTGACGGCTGTCAGGATGAAGAGCGAGGTACAAACACTCAGTGATCAGTGATTGCTGAGTGTTTGTAAATAATTAAGGACAGAGAATGTTTACTGTATTCTAGAGCTGCAGCTAACGATTATTTTCAAAATCGATTAGTTAGCCGATTATTAAGTTCGATTAATCGGATAAACAATAAAATACATTTTAAAAAATGACTCCAGTGATGGACTACTAGTTTGTATTGAGATTGTAGTCCATCACAGGAGCAAGCTTGGAGCGATGGAAGTTAAAAAAAAAGTGTGGTGTGCAATATAGTGAAATGGAAAGTTTAAAATTATACAGCAATGAATGCAGAATGGCATCGGCTATAGAGGACTACAAATCCCAGCAATAGTACATTATACAGCGCAATGCAGAGTATCACCAGCTATAGAGGAGCACAACAAATCCCAGCAATAGTGTACATCACCTCCTGTCCATTCATGATTGTGGTTATAGTAAACATACTCTGTCCTCAAGTTATAAATAAACGGGAACACTCAGTATAGAGGATTCCTGTTCATTTATAACAGGGGATGCAGAAAAAGAGATTGAGCCCTCAATCTCTTTTTTTTTTTTTTCTATTTTAAAAGGGAAATATCAGGGGCCTGTTTAGACCCCTAATATTTCGCCGGAGCCCCTAGAAGTAAAGTAAAAAATAAAAATCTTTAATAAAAATGAATATAATGAATATAAAAAAAATGAAAAAGTTTATAAAAAATAACATGTTAACATTTTTTTGGAAAAAGTTAGAATAAAAAACATTTTTGGTTTTGAAATTTTCATTCCAGTGCGCCTCCTAGTATAGACCATATGTATGCATTGCTATTCAAATGTGCAGCCAGCAGATTGGTATAACGTGCCGCACTAAAAAGAATAAAACATCAGCTCCTTTGTTGCAGATGAAGACGACGTGCATAAATGTGGCCGCTGTCAAACGGAATTCACGAGCCTGGAAGAGTTTGTCCAGCACAAGGTACAAAAGGTGTGTCAGAAGGTGGTGGAGCCGTCCCTGGAGCCTTCCATACCAGTCCTCAGCACCCAGGAGGTACAAGTCTTCTCTTCTCCCCCACAGAAGTAGATTGAATACTGGCCAGATGACTGATAACCAGATTTTGTGTGTGTAGTAATTCTTAGAATTTTTTTTTTTGTTCAGTTTGGTATATGCGAGTAAGGATTACATTTTGATAGATTTTTCCTAATATTATCTCCTCTTATAATTCTGTGTCGCAGCAGGTGGTTCCTTGTGTGGAAGATCCGGTGAGCATTACCCATGTTGTTGTGGAGGCCTCATCGTTATCAGAGGAGATCATCACTGCAGACGGTGAAGGTAATGCTGAAGATCCTGCAAAATGCTCTCACCTTGTGATTCTTTCTAATAGTAAAATGTTTGTATGTGCCCATCCTATTGGCCTCATGGTGCTTGCCCTTCCTTGTGTGTTTTAAGTATGGATACACCAGTTTTACAGTACCGAGTACCGATTTATTTATATTTCGGTACTCGCCGATACTGGATACCGATGCCTGTACTTCCGGTAGCATAGAGCCGGCTTCCCCGGCAATCAGGGAGCCAGGCGGCGTGTCATTACCCACCGCCCGGCTTCTAGATTGCCCGGGAAGTTGACTCCATTCTGTTTGGCCGGCTCGATGCCAATTGGCCGGGAAGCCGGCTTCCCAGCCAATCGGCATTGAGGCCGGCCAAACAGATCTGACAATATGGTGACACGACCCCCACCCTGCAGACAAATCATTCCCCTCACATAGATCCTTTTAACAGCAGTCATTACCGTACCAGTCCCTCGGCCAGCTGGGCAGACACCGCTCTCCCGGATCTGCCCACTTCTTCTGTGTGTACAGCGCCCATGTGATCAGCCCTCAGCCTGCTACTGCGCATGTGCAGACTGCCCAGCGCTCTCATTCAGACATCCTGTGCATGCATCAGAGGAAATCTCCCTCTGACCAGAAGTTCCAGTATCTGGAAAGGTATCGGAGCATTTGGGCGAGTACGGGTACTCGCCCAAATACTCTGTATCGGCACCGATACTAGTATCGGTGCATCCCTAGTTTCAAGTGAGGTTTCTTCTGTTACCCAGCAGCCTCTGAAGAGTTAAAAGAAGCTATCCCCACCGAGGAGACTGTTGAGGATGAGCAGAGAAGCGATACCCAGGAATATGAATTGGATTGGCATGGTAGCTCGGAGGAGGCCCCTTCACAAGAGGAGACCCCGGTGATGAAAATGGTGGTGGACGAGAAAGGGCGTTATGTGTGCCAACTGTGTGAGAAGACATTTAAGACCGTACGTTGACATTCTGTAGCTCTGCTTGTCAGGATTGTGCATTGCGTACTTTACGTTTTGTTGACTTTAATCTTTTCTTCCTAGGCTAACATTCTGAAAGCACACATGCTCATCCACACCAATAGAAAAGACTTTGTTTGTAGAATGTGCGGAGACGCCTTCAGGACAAAGGGCTCTCTAATTAGACACCACCGACGGCACACAGGTAAGGGAGCACTTGTTCTAAATTGTATAAAGGGGCAGCATTAGCAAAAGGAAAATATCTCAACACCGTGATCTCTTTCTAGTATCCGCATGTCCGTTCAGTGTAGACTCTCTTTAGTGCAACTCTCTTCTTATTAGCCTCTTATTAATGCTCATAGTTTTGGGATGGGATGTCCAAGAAGCTCATGTAGGGTGCCCACACACACTTTTGACCATATAGTGTATTACTGTGCTTTCTAAAAGGTGTTTTCCTTTTAGAAAACACCTTTTAGAAAGCACAGCTAAGCAGCTGCTGTGGAGGCAACCCAGCGTGCGTGTTCCCGGCCGTGCCCGCAGTCACCGTGTGCATCCATAGATGCACACAGCCCTGCGGCAATCCAAGTCCCTCTTCTCCGTCCAACAGGTTGATTGGTGGCAGAAGGAACCTATGGGGGGGGGGAGGAGGACACAGAAAGGTACTGGGCATTTACCTTAATGCAGAGAATGCATTAGGGTAAAAAAATGCCCTGCCTTTAATACTAATTTAATGGGTTTTCTACAATATTGCTAAATTGAAAATTGTGGTAAATGAAGATAAAATGAACCCACTGACGTTTACTAGTGCTGAGAGGCTGTTCTTTGATTACCTGTATATTCCATTCTCTTTTCTGAGGATTTTGAATCTTTTTGTGGTTAGAAATCTGTAAATTAGAATAGTCTTTAATCAGATGCTTCCTGATTTTAGTTATTTCAGCAGTTGCTCATTTCAGAATGTTGTACTTTTATTTTAATTTAATCTGCGTTGCTTAAAGAAGAACTATGGGGATAAGGCTTTTCCCCATAGTTCTCCTTAGGATAACGGGAGGACACAAACTAGCGTCCTCCCGTCACCCTAGGCTCAGTATACCGCGAGCTGTAGCTCGCAGTATGCTGAGACGCCGCAGTACACCGCGAGCTGCTGCTCACGGTATACTGAGACGCCGCAGCTGAAGCGGATCCCGACAATTATGCCGGGATCCGCCCAGCATCGTGACTGACAGCTGGCTCGCCTATCTAGAGGCAGAGTCAGCTGTACCCACCGCTCCCCCGTCCGTTCCACCAGTCAGCGCTGGCGGAGGGGGGAATCCAGCCCCTCTGTCACGGCATAGAGCCGTGACAGGAACGAGAGGTGAGCGAACGCCGATATCTGTTCGCTCACCTCCCGATCTACTGAGCTACAACTATGAGGTGAGTGAAAAGCACTCACCTCATAGTTCTCCTTTAGAGCAAAGGCTTCCTGACCTAATCTAGCGCCCCCCACCCAGATGTGTACTTTGATCAGTCGGCCATACCTTCTGGTGTTCACAACCTGTTTGAAAAGTCTATGTGTAGCTGCAATTGCACGGTAGATCCTCAAACTCCTATGGGGCCACCTCTGGCCTCAGGATGCAGCTCCATAGAAATCTTTGGGGAGTTACTGTACAGAAGACTTTTTTAGAACTGGATGTACACAAACACTGGTGGCTGAGGCCGCTGGATACAGGTAAGTATACATTTGAGAGGGGATGTGGCAAAAGGGTTGCTGTATGGAGTCATATATGTTTGTCTGGGGTACGAGTTTACTGTTCAGCAGAGTAGAGAACTGTAGTTGTCGGGATATCTTCCTATTTGCATTGTTTACCTTTTTTGCAGATGAGCGACCGTACGTCTGCTCAAAGTGTGGCAAGAGTTTCAGAGAATCTGGGGCATTATCACGGCACATGAGGTCCCTCACTCCCTGCACTGAGAAGTTGATGATCAACATGGAGAAAACCTATATGAACAGCCGGGATGAGAACTCGTCGGGTAGGTACACAGAACACATCAGTGTGTATGTGGTTAGACTCTGGTGGAAGAAGGTTGAAGATGCTTCATATCGTTTAGTAGCTTGTTTGCAGTTCATAGTTCTATGCTATCCGTTAGACCAGGGTAGCCAAACTTTGTCCTTCCAGCTGTTGTGGAACTGCAAGTCCCATAAAGCATCGCAGGACTTTGAGAGCCACAGAGACTGATGCATGATGGTATTTGTGCTTTCCCTCACAGCTAGCGGGCCGAGTTTTTGGCTACCCCTGCATCGGGCGCTTTATTTAAAGTACAGTGGCTTGTGAATAATAGGAAGAGACAGGGACGTCCCAAGGCCAGGTGTTATCCGGAGCGGATACCAGGTGACACCCCGGTCTGATGTCACTGTGCATGCGCGGCCATTTTTGTGATACCTGCAGGCGGCCATCTTGGTAATGGACACCGGAAGAGTGAGGAGGGGACGTTCACCCGGTGGGATAAGATATGCCGCCGTGTCCCCTCCTCTCTCCTGCAACTGTGGTGCTTTCGGTCCATGACCGAGTGCCCGACTTATCAGAGGGGGTGACACCAAAATGACCGTCAGTGGTGACTGTGACTGAAAATGACTGTTTACCCCTCCAATAGTGTCGCTGGGGTGCGGGCCGCACCCCCCTTGTTACGCCACTGGGCAGACATTTGCTGATGAGTCCTTAATGCGAACCTGTGTTTTGTGAATACAACTTGCTCGGGAAATTGAAAGATGTTTTTGTCTACGGGGGCTTGCAAATTCTGCAAACCATTTCTTCTCAGATCCCGGTGACTATGATCCAGTAGGGCATGGACCTAAATCAATATCCGTTTCTTACCAAGTTTCCAATACTTATGCTTTATCCAGACCTTGCTTCTACAGACACTTCTTCCCAGACCGGGACAGATGAGGTCAATGGCTCTCCAGTGGTGCGATTTATGGCAGATGAGAAGGGCAATCTACTGCACGAGGTCCAGGTGCAAGCAGTGGCCGTCAAACCTCGGGTGAGTATGGCATTCGCAGCAAGGTGCCGGTTCTAATCCTTGTAAAATTGCACAAAGATTCAGCAAGTTTAAATGTATGTTTGCAGATGAAAACAATGTCTGAATGGGGGAGATTTCTGTAGTGTAGACTAAGTGTGAACGCCAAACTAGAAAAAATGGTACCTGCATGAATCTATAACCAGCCTTTTTGGCAGGGAGCACATTGGGAAGGCTTACAACAATACAAAAACACAAAAAATCCCCAGCCTAAACCTGCCAGCCAGCCTGCAACCAAACAAATTGCCCTGTCAACAGTATGTGTTAAAATCAGAGGTTTTAGTTGCACAAACTTTTGGCCAAAAATATGTAGAAGCCACACCGCCGCGCCAAGGATCCTCTGCAAAGTGTGGTCCTAACTCTATGTATACGAGTCTCCAAGTGTGAGCATATTAATGCAGTCGATAATTTGCATGCAGGTGTCCCTGGAGGTAGCCAACTCCTCCTAATAAGGTGCTGGGACGCACTGGGGGCCCAGCAATCTAGAATGCAAGCTGGGCCCCCAGTGCGTCCCCACAACCAGCACCTTATTAGGAGGAGTTGGCTACCTCCAGGGACACCTGCATGCAAATTATCGACTGCATTAATATGCTCACACTTGGAGACTCGTATACATAGAGTTAGGACCACACTTTGCAGAGGTGACTTGGCGCGGCAGTGTGGCTTCTACATATTTTTGGCCAAAAGTTTGTGCAACTAAAACCTCTGATTTTTAACGCATACTGTTGACAGGGCAATTTGTTTGGTTGCAGGCTGGCTGGCAGGTGAAGCTGGGGATTTTTTGTGTTTTTGCATAAGTGTGAACGCCACCTTTTCTGTATACTGCAAACATATTTCATAGTAGAAGGCAAGTTTGTGAGATTTATGACCTTTTATAAATGGTCTCCACTGTCTATTGTTATAAAGGGGAAACTATTTTTAGAGCACCGAGAGTTTAAAAGTTCCCATTTTAGTGTAGCAGACTATTTAAAAGAGTATTTAAATACTAGAGAGCAACATGGGGGATATACTGGTAAATTACAAGGATGATGATCTTATCCTTCTCCCTTAAAATGCCAAATGTATGGTGACATTTTAATGTAGCATTCAGATGCCAGTCAGTCAAGTCTGAAAAACTGGCTAAGAGAAGAGATGGCATCCTAGCCAGTCCAGTTGGTGCTGCCCAGCCAATCCCATCTACGAACTACAGACTGTAATGGCTGAAGAAACTCAGAAGGTTGCAGCATTTAAAGAAGATCTAAGCCCTAACCAAATTTTTTTCCCCATCCTTTTGCAATTCAGTGCTGCTCATCTTCTCAAGCCTCTTTCAGCCACTTCCTGTCTGCATGCGCCCGCTCTATCAACTGCGCATCATTGCTCTGGACTGGCTTTCAGTGGTAGCTCATGCCTACGCTGTGTGTATTGGGACGGCTGTGTACTACTGTTGAAACCTAATGAACATGTTAAAGATTATATGAGATTTTAAAGCCCATTTCCACCTTTCGCAGAGGTATTTAAAAAAAAACAAACATATGTCAGCAATGCACACCAATTCTGCATGAAGCAGGCATATCATTTGATGAATATGAAAACAGAAACTTAAATTTTTGTTAGCTTTCCGCTTCATATTCACATGCAAATTTCTGCCTCTGTGCTGTGTAAGCAATGTGAAAATATCCCCCACCAGCCCCCCCCTTTCCCTGGACAGTGTATTGTGTGTAAAGGCAGAGCTAGTGTTTACTGATCACGTTACAATGAGTGACAGGGAGGGGGGCAGCTGATTACAGTCTAACACCCTGGTGGCTGACAATTTCCTGTGGAAAACATTTTGAATTTTGAGGCTTCAGGCCTAATAAAACTTTCATTAAAAAAATGAAGAAAGCCAGCAATGCGAGTCATGAAAATGTGCACGCCTATACATCATCACTGCACCTCTTCATTACCACAAATGGACTTTAAGGATTTGGTTTACATCTACTTCAGTCTTTGCTCTGCTCCTGGGATTTGTCGATCTCTGGTGTAGAGGACCTACATCATTACTGACTTCTAACTGTATCATTTTAATAGACAGAAATCATACTAGCCAACACGGAAGAATTGGTGTGTCCTCAGTGTGGTGAAATCTGCAAGACAAGCAACTCCTTGAAAGTGCACTTGAAGGGCCATGAAGGTAACATACCCTCCTGAGATGTCTCTCACATCTATCTAACTGTAATTTAAAGCTGAACTCGAGGAAGGTATAAGACACAACTGAATGCAGCTGTGTATTAATCCGTCTATATATAGATATCTATATATAAATAAATGTTATAATTAAAGTGTGTGCACGTACGTACCTGAATTTGAGGCGTCAGCCTCTTGCAATCCACTGTGTAGAGCAGCACTTAGACTAGGAAAGGGAGAAGCAGCGCAGTAAATCCAATCAGCTATACTGCAGTGCTCATGTGCACTGACAAGGAGCATGCTAATAGGACGGCACAGAAAAGCTCCTCAATCTCCTGCTTCTTCACTGGCCAGAGGAGGGACATTGCCTGTCATATAGGGCTGATCTGTGTTGCTAAGCTGTGTGTGTAAATCACATTACTGGATGGACAAATACAAATTCTTTGGCAGGTACTACTCCTCCCTTATGTATTTTTAAAAAAACAAACATATTTTCCCCAGTCATCTTCCAGGACAGCCATCGAGATATAGGCTCCGCCTGCCTGCAACAGGAAACACATCAACCACATTAAATAAATAGACTCCTCCTTCCATCCCAAGTCAGTTTTTTTGTGATAGGTTTGTTTTTTTAGGGAAGGTGTTTGACAAAATCTGCAGTCACATATTATTCTCTTTGCTCCAGCTTTCAGACATAACTGCAGAACGGTGGGGCTAGGTAGTGCAGCAAGCTCCATGGCAGTCTTTGGAGTAGTTTCCGAGGTTACATCTGTGGGGTGTGATAGGCTTGGCTTCGTCAGCATGTCCAGTGGTAGCCTGGCTTAAGATAAAATCTGGATGAGTGACAATGCTAGGTGAAATGTTAGAAGTTGTGTCTGAGCTAGGGATGTTCAAATACCAAGTACTGTACTCGGTACAAGTATAGATACTTTTCCAGCTCCTAGACTAGAGGAAAAATACAAAAGTTAGGAGGCAGCTGTCATTTTTAAGGAGCATACAGGGCTCCTGGTATATTTGCATCCCTATTTTATTGTATCATTTGATGTATATATTAGGGATGCATCGATACCATTTTTTCAAGTACTGACACTTGCCCAAGTACTGACAGATACGAGTACTGATACATTTTTGCTTATTGTCATGTGACAGTTTTTCTAAAACAATACAGACTAATGATTTCAGGACAGTGGTGGATTGCCAGAGCCAGGTCCCAGCTGCAACCAATGCAACCCCGGTAGTTCTCATGAAAATGCCAAGTATCGGCGCTGGTATCTGAACATCCCTAATTTTGATTGCTTTGAGCATTAGTCCTAGTGATCACAATGTTCCAAACAATGCTAAGATGTCATTATCAATTCTTTGGGCAGGTTGTAAACTGTACCGCTGCGATCAGTGCGGCCGGGAGTTCTTGAAGGCTCACCTGCTCAGGAAGCATCGGGAATCTCACGGCAATAACCGTAAATACAAGTGTGGCGAGTGCGGCAAGACGTACAAGACGGTCGCTCATGTCAAAGGTCACATGAGAGTGCACTCTGATGACAGGCCGTTCCCCTGCTCCAAGTGTGGGAAGAGGTATAAAACAAAGGTGAGTGTCGGGCCGAGTTAACGGTGCTTTTGCCAGAGCTGCTGTAAGCTGCACTGTGTGCTAGTTGGCTGTTACAAACAGGTTAGAGTGATTCCAGCAGCCATTTTGTCTGTGGGACTGGGAAATAGGCGGGTTGGACTTTGGGTGGAGAAGAAAATTAAAGCTGAACTCCAGCTGAATGGCTAATAGACAAAAGATATGCTGGAGCTGTTTTTCCTGCCACGTCATTTGTTTCTGTCCATCCAGTCCTGAGACTTGCAAAGCCCTGTCTGGCAGAGCAGGAGACCAGATTGTTCCTCTTCTGTAGTTCAGTAACACTTACAGCTCTTGTCCCTCTCCCAGCATGTTGGTGGACACCTAAGGTGAAGCAGCAAACTGATGAGCTCAGCTCTCCCACTCTGCTCTCTTCTCCTATCGGCACATGCGCACTGCAGCACAGTTGACTGGCTGCTTCTTTCTTTCTCTCCCAAGCTGGGCTCTGCTGTTTAGGGACTGCAAGAGGCTGATGCCAGGTCAAATTCAGGTACTTGTACTGCTTGCATTCCCAACGTACACAAATACATTTAATGGTATGTGAATGATAAACAGAGCCGCGTTATACCTGCCTGGAGTTCAGCTTTAAGTCTATATTAGATATTGAAGAATGTGTAGCTTATCTGTAACTAATGGGAAAGGATGAACCTTTTGAGTTTGGTTTTGTAGATGTCTGTTTTGCCTGACACGCCTCTCTCTCTCCTTTTATGAAGAATGCTCAGCAAGTTCATTACCGCACCCACTTCGCAGACAGGCCCTTTGTTTGCCCATACTGCCCTAACAGCTTCCGGGAGAAGGGTTCCCTGGTGCGGCACATAAGGCACCACACAGGAGAGAAGCCTTATAAGTGCCACAAGTGCGGCAGAGCGTTTGCAGAGCACGGAACACTAAATCGCCATATCAAAACCAAAGGTAAATTGGCTCATTGCTGACAGCAGCCTGGGCTGAGTGCGTCTCTACAGGACATCAATGCAGACGCAATTTTAAAGACGTGTGACCTCTGAAGTATAATTAATTGGTCTCTTTGGTGTATTTTATGACAGGCTCTAATATACAGCGGTACCTTGGTTCACAAACTTAATTCGTTCCACAATTCTGGTCGTGAACCGGATCAAACTTGATCATACCGCAATCTCGACTAGAGGAAGCCACGCCCACGTGTCAGAGCAGGGAAGATGGCTGCAGTTTTGTTCCTGACCCGATGCGGAGTTTGTGACTGGAAGCAAAATTTTGCCGAACTTCCTGTTCGCGAACCAAATTGTTTGCGAACAGAAGCGTTCGTGTACCGAGGTACCACCTGTACTTTTGCAAAAATTGTCTGATTTTCAGAGTTGTCTTTTTCCACAGTAAATTTTGGTCTTGTTTTAGCATAATCAGTGATGTTAGATGTAAGATTTTTAGATGGGTGGCTGCCTTCTAAACTCCCTCATGCCATCTCTACTGCTTCCCCCCTGCCTGATATTACCTAAGGAGGTGTAGAGCACATCTTCACAACCAATGATTTCAGTGCTGTAAAGGCAACTGTAATTCCATGCTTGAAAGATAAGAGGAGAGAAAAGTGCATTGATCTGGCACAATACTAGACTTCATTTAGTAGTAAAAGCAAGTGGTAAATGACTCCCATTCTACAAGGGATAGAGCGCTTGGTACACAGCCACACCATGCAGAGGGGGAGTGCTAACACCGGGGACCAACAGCTGGTAAATCAGTCCTCCATTTCTACCCTGGTTTGCTGACAGACTGGGGTAGATGACATCTGCATCCATGTCTGTTGCTTCTTTTCAATCCTGGAGCTCGTCGCAGACAGCGATGGGGGGATCAGGCTCTTGGCATGTCCCTGCCTACTCTTTACAAAAGGGCACTCCTGCCCAGCCCCTTATCTAGGACTGATTTAACCATAAGGACTTTACAAAGGAGAACTTATCTTTTTAATTTTTTTGCTTTAGTTCTGCTGTACTTTGATACCAAAATCATCCAACCTCTGAACTAACCCACAAGAACATCCCCACTCTGGCTGCTTGCTAACTCTGTACCGGGGCAGATTCTTGTGCAATGTTTTCTTCTCCTGAAGCAAAAATCCTCTTTGGCATCGACTGCGCTCTGACATCTCATAAACGTGTGTTGGGTAGGAAGGAGCTCCAGCATTCAGGATTGCCCTATCTATAGGGTATCTGTGCACAGCTTAGGCTTGCAAGAAGAGCATTTTTGCCCAAGGAGAAGAAAACATTGCACAGGATGATGTGTTGTTTATAGGGTAAATAGGAAGCTGGTGTGGAGGGGTGTTAGCGTAGGTTAGGTGAAGAGGGGTGGGGAAGGAGGTTCCGATCTTGTAGAAGTATGTAGAGGATGGAGTTGTTCATTTTGTCAAGTTTTCATAAATAAATGTATATATGAAAAAGCAAAGCTGTCCTTTTAAGAATAGGGAATGCTTGATGAACTTTGAGGTGAGTGTAGAGAAGCTGTGCGGTGACATAAAGCTTACAGCAAGTAGGAACTCCACAAAGTACACTGAAACCTTCCCTGAACACAGTGGTCATTCCTCTGATCCTCTAATATGGCTGCACTCTGGTACATCAGAAACCACAGGCTGAACGCCACTTACAACCTAATACTTTTCTCACCTTTAAAAAAAAAAAAAAATATTATTAACTTGTTTTATGCCATTGATATTGTCTGTTTTCTTTTTCCTACTTCAGGTGGTTGTGCAGCACATCTGCAAAACTTGGCGGGTTGCGGCAATACGTCCGTGGCTGAGGACATCCTCTGCGAGGAGCCCCACACAGTGCTGGTAGAGTTCTCTTCAGTGGTTGCTGACACTCAGGAATATATTATTGAGGTAACTTTTTCCTGTCATATAGGCCTGGGCACAGTGGCAGGCCATTTATGATGGTTGGGGAATTATTATTGGATGGCCTGTGATGGAGTTTAGCGTTTTCACAGATATGGAATATGCAGAAGCAGTAGCTAGGATTGCCCAATAGCTTTATAGCTAAAAAGCACCAGCTTCACTTTTTCGGTAGCGATAGATTTATGGGAAACTATGCATAATGCTACACTACTAAAGAAGGGTTCATTTTTAACTTTACTGTACAATGGCCATTATTGATTAAAGCCAATCTCACAGCTCTTGGAAGAACAATTGGTTATTCATCACTTTGAATGTCATTTGAAGAAGTTATTAGATGGGTATGCAGTGATTGATTGTTGAACAGAGGAGACAGTGGGGAAAGTGTGGATGTACTTGGGAACCAAGGTTCCCTTCCATCTATCGTAGGGGGAGGGAGTGACTGTTGTACAGAAAAGGCAGTGGGGAAAGTCTATGGATGTTCTAAAGAACCAGGGTTCCCTTTCATCCGTCATGGACAGGCAGTGATTGTTGAACAGAGGAGGCAGTGGGGAAGTGCGGATGTACTTGGGAACCAAGGTTATCTTCTGTCTGTCGGGTGGCAATGTAGCAAGGGTTTCCTTTTTTATTTTAAGGCCACACTAACTGCATTTCTGTCCTTTTGTTTTGATACACATAGGCATCCTCTGAAGATTTTGAGACCAGTGAAGCTGCTGAGCTACTGCAGAGCACAGGATCACATGAGGTGAGTAGTATGCACATTTTACATTGAAAATTATGAATGATTTAACCAACCAATTTATCGTTACCAGCCTAAGGGACATGGTTTCATTTGACTTTTTTTTTTTTCTTTCCTCTATCCTAAAGCACTTGTGCACACTTAAAGCTGAACTCCAGGCAGATATAAGAGACCAATGCAGCTCTGTATTCATTATTACACTAATGCATCATTAAATGTATTTGCCTTTACATACACAGTGTACAGTAAGTGTACTAATGACTTCCCCTCTATAGCAGAGCTCAGACTGGGAAAGAGAGGAGCCAATCAGTTGTGCTGCATATTTAGGAGGAGAGAGCAGAGTGACAGATGAGCTCATCAGTCTGCCTCTTCTCCTTTCACGGTCCAGTCACAGTCTAGGGGAGGGACAAGACCTGTAAGTGTTACTGAACTGCAGCAGAGGAAAGCAAGGTCTCCTGCCCTGCCAGATAGGACTGTGCTGTTTGGTAGAACTGTGCAAATCTCCTAACTAAATGCAGAGAAATGCAAATCCTTTTTGGCAGATCTAACCGCTTCCCTATATGTATTTAGCTGTGTGCCTGATGTGGAATGCTTTTCCAGAGAGGGTGTTGATGGTACAATTCCTAAAAGTATTTTAATAGGGGCTGGATTTTTTTCTTCCAGTATGTACCATCTACAGTTAAAATGAAGTATATTATAAGTCTTCAATGTGGGGATTTGTTCTAAAATGTGCCATACTTACCCGGGGCAGTAACTTTGCCATCCTTTTGGAGCTTGTACACGTGTAAACTTGAAGTTAAGATAGTGAACACGGCCAGTCCTGGCCACCAGATCATCGTACAGAATGTAACACTGGATGACAGCACTGAGCCCTGTATAGAGGAGATCCCCACTACAGACACTATCACCATAGCCACCCCTGAATCTCTTACTGAGCAAGTAGCCCTGACCCTGGCCTCGGTTGTTGGAGACGGGACAGTAATAACCAGCGAGGTCACTGCTGGGGAGGAAATGGTGGTGCCGGAGGAAGTGGTAATACCTGAGGAGGTGGCGGTGCCAGAGGAAGTGGTGACACAAGAGGATGTGGAAATGGAGGAAGACATAGGAGAATTTGTTATTACCACAATACAGGAAGAGGAAGTGGAGGTTCAGACTGTGATTGTGTAGCTGCTTTGAATGCCGCAAAGAAACTGGAAGCAAAATACTGTTGACTTGTCTGGTGTGACCAGCAAGGGATAGTATACAACTTCAGCCACTAGATGGTGCTGTGACTGAGAATGTCCGGCATGATTTAGAGACTACAGGGTTCTTCCTCTCTCCTCTAAACTACTGGTGCAGGACTGCGACTGTGAACTATCTCAGGCTGGCAAAAACAGCGTGGAATGTTAGAATGGTAGTTGTGCCTTGGAACTTTGCTTCTGAATTGCCTCTTGTACATAGACTCTGGAATCTCATGAATCAGCCTCTTCTACTGATAACTACTGTTGTGGGTAGCTGCACCCCTGTCTTTCTCACATTGAGAAGTCTGCAGCTTTTTAAGCATGAAAGAGGGCTCCAATTGGCTGCGCCTTCATGGGTTTTTGGTCGATCCCCTTAGCACAGCAACCACTGGAGAGGTTCTTTTTGCTATGCGTGAAAGCTCTATTTGTACTGTGGCCACCATTAAACAAGAACTCCAGGTAAAAGAAGCAGTTGGATTTGGTTTGGGAACTGAGCTTGTTATAGCGTGGAGCTGAGTGGTAAATCTTTGCACCTCTTAAGCAGCGGTCTGGTCAACCAGCCAGTAAAGTTAACCAGATTTGGCCTACAGTGCTTAAGAGATAACAGTGGTGCAGGTATTTTATGCTGCCTTCATGTACCTGTACTGGATTGTTAAATGACAAGAGGGTCGGGCTTTTTTTAAAAGATGACAAAACCTGGGTATAGTCTTGGTCTGGGATCCATTCTGGGTACAGTCTGGAGTGTCGGATACAAAGGGTGCAACAGGGAAACCAGTTACTTTGAATACTAAAATAGGTACTTAAAGGCACTGCAAGGTATCTGCACGTTGTCACTGTTACCTTTTTAGGCCAGAATGAATGATGTACAGCAGCGGGTGTCACTGACCAACTTTCACAGTATGTATCCATCAAGTCAGATAATCTAATATCACACTAGTAATTTAATTTTGTAGAATAGTCAATCCTACTCTGTACAGAAGAGTAATATTTCAATCCTTGTGTTCCCCTAAGGCCCCCTTCACACCAGCTGATCAGGAGGGGATCCGTGCATAGATGCATAGATCCCCTCCTGATCGCAGTGGTACTGTTAAGATGTCACCGCTGTGACATCCGTGTATGTTCAGTTTTTGAAACCATGTTGGTTTATGGGGAATAGGATGTAAACGGGCATGTCCGTTTATATCGGATTCCATCCTGTCCGGCATGATCAGGTTCATAAAAATGGACCACTGTTCCATTTGTCCTGCCAGACCTGGCCGGAGTTGGGGGGGGGGGGGGGGTGTGTAACTGGGTGTAAACAAGACGCCCATCCATTTACACTTAGACTAGCATTGGGTATCCGATTGGGTCCACCTGAGAAAACTGACAGGTGGACCCAATCGGATCGCCCGTGTGAAAGGGGCCTTGGGCTACATTCACATGGATCAGCTGAGGATTTCCTGCAGCAGGGATCCCAGATGTGTCTGTATAGATGATTAATCCCTGGATGCAGGCTCTGTCCTAGGGACATCGTCTATCCTGAGCTGCAGGTAATCATTTAAGAATGATTACATGCAGACTGCCACTGACCGATGTGGCCGCCCGCTGTCGGCCTGTCATTAACTTGATAGGGCACAGTAGCCTCATCTGTGCAGACACACCCTGGATTCCTACTGCAAGAATCCCCCCTAGCTGTAATCTAAAGCTCCATGTGAATAGGGACTAACAGTTTGGAATGAGGGCTAGCTCCACACAGACTCTGGGAAACATTATCTAAAAGACACAGACCGTAATAACAAGGACAAGGGACAGTTGGAACCACTGCCGGCTTTGTCCCTGTTCACAATTCTCCTTTTTCTAAGTCAAGTGAGAGTTATTTTTCCCAAGGGTTACAGCAATAAATCCTACAGAGGCTCTAACCCTTTTTTTTTCCAATGCAAGTTGAACGTTTTGGTGGTAGATGGCCTGTAACATAAGGCCAACATAATAACAGCAATCATCTACTGTACACAGGTAACCATTACAATACCCTTATTTATTTCCTGTATTTTTATACATTCACATGGGTTCCTCTGCCCCAAAGGAGTTCATAATCTTTATTACCAAAGCACAAATAGAGATGACATTTCTAATTCTTTTAGGGTTTTATTTTAATATAAAGTAATATAGTATATAGCAAGATGCTAATTCCTGATTGCCGCTCAAATTTCTAAAAGTTTATTAAAACCTCTAACCCCGGTGTTCATTATAACTCCATATACATTTTAGGATTAAAGAATGGCTATCATGAGCCAAATATAAAGGCACCATTACGGAGTTCTGCTCTCCTCTTGAAAAGGCTACAGGTTTTCTAAAATGTTCTCATGCTGATCCTGCTGCTTCCATATTTTAGGTTGGTGATCCGAAACAAGTATGCCGATTAGGACACCTTTTTGTTATCTTCATACTTGTAATGACTTAGAGCAGCGTTTCTCAACCTTTTTCTTTTTAAAGTATGCAAAATCTTAAGGCACCCCAGTCTAAAATGTAATAAAGATAAATGTGAAAAACATGGTGTGGCCCCACCAAAATCTATATCCTATCCTCAGATCTGGTATAGATTTTAAGGGGGACCCTATTGAAAAAAAAAAATCACTAAGGTCCCCCCTTTAAACCACGAGCCCCCATTTACATCAGGTGGCCCTTCACAATAGAACCTCCTTTTCACATTAGAGTTCTCCCTTCATATCAGAAGCCCCTTTCCGGTCAGAATCCTACTATCGCATCAGGAACTGCAGCTGTGGCAACATGGCTAAAGGTGCCCATACACTTTACAACCCTACAACAAGGGTTGTAAAGTAATTTAAAAAACGTACGATCTGCCCATCTTGGACAGGCAGATCCTACCTGAGGGGCGGGCTTCCGATGACTGCAATGCTGAACGGACAGCGGGCGCACACCGGCCCGTTCGGCAGTGATCTCTTGATCATGTTAAAAACCAGCCGAAAATCGTACGATTCCCGGCTGGTTTTCCAACATGCTCGATATACAAAAGTCGTGCGACCGTACATTAGAAACGGTTGCACGCCTTCCATACACTGCACGATTCTCGTACGAGAATCGTGCAGTGTATGGGCACCTTTACAATGGAGCAGGCCTGGATGCAGGCGAACTACTGGCCTATTCTGAATGGATCCCACCCTCCCTAGATTATTGTAATTTATATCCATGGTGCTGGTGAAAACTGAGAGTCCCCTGAGGAAGCCGGGAGACACCCCAGGGTGCCACGGCACCCTGATTTAGAAAGGCTGGCTTAGTATTGAACGCCAGGGGGTTAGCATTTTCAGAACAAGGTCACCAGTGGGTTGCTGCAAGTATTCCATGCAGGAGATCCTGTTCTCTTCAGCACTCAGTACTTCCTTCTCCAGGATCTATGGCAATGATCACGCTGTGTCAGCAGGTTCCCCATAAGACATTCTCTAGCACACTTGTTAAAGCTGAATGAGGAAGGACTTGCTATAGACCCTTTATTGTGAAGAGATCTCTGCACCGGACAAATAAGATTTACTTCTCAGCTACTTTGTATTTCCCTTCTTCTAGGTGTGGGGCTGGAGATTGCTGGCCATGCTCTGGTGTCCTTATCTGATGAATGTTCTCTCTGGTGTTTGAGAACTCAGAGGTCTCATTTTGCCTTACTGTTGGCATTTGTTGCATACACCTTGAAGTAACCTTTTTATGGGCGGAATATTTAAGAGAATGTAGCAAATTATTTAAAGGACTACTCCAGGAATTCCTAATCAAGGGTAGGAGTTGCAGTTATCTTTGTGCCCCCAATGCAGAGATTTTCACCTTTTTGTCTTCAGATACACATGTGTGGGCTTGGGTTTTGAATATAGACTGCTTATAGGCTGATAAATGCAAGGTGACACATAGGAGCACTCAAGGACAGGGCCAGGAAACGTCAACAATCTCTAGATCTGAGGCTTTGAGGGAAGTGTAATCATTTCATCACGCTGATCCACGCATAGAAAGTCCTCAGGCTGCCTTTTATGTACCAGTCCATCCTCTGTTCTAGTACTGAGCCCCTCCAGCCATTCTGCCCGGGGTGAGATCACTGCTTTCTACTAAATAGGTAAGTGACTTCAAGCCCTAGAATGATTCAATTCATGAATTACCTCCAAAGTCTTCCAAATGATCCAGTTCATTAATCACCGTCTTCCCAGCTTGGCTTTACACTGCAACTGCTGGAAGACTGCCCTTGGTGCGTTTCTATGTTGACAACCCTTCTCTAGTCAAACGTTGCTGGTTGTCAGCTTGACTCGCTGGCTTCTGAGACAGCCCATGCCTATAGGAGATGACTTTGATGGAACATGTGAGGATAGAAATATGGCAGTGGCCTTTTGGATTAAATGGTGTAGGGGCTGTGTCTGTCTTCTTGATCCTCGTCTCTGTATCTAATACATTATGTGGCCCTATAGCAGAACTAGGCAAAAAAAAAAAAAATCTTAACCCTTGCAGTGGAGCTATGCCAGCATTGCAAGGGTTAAGTGCTCATTTTGCTTAGGGAGCTAAAATACCATATACTCACCAAAACCGCAGTCCCAACGGGCTCCTATTCCTGTCCTTTCAGCTTCTCTCCCCCTTCCACTTCAGCGGTCTAAGGCCCTGGTGAGTTATCGCATTCAGTACAGTGTATAGGACGGGAGACCTATACTGGGGGACGTACTGTCGCTGCAGGGACCGGTCTAGGAGCCAGCCGGGCATGCAGTTCTGGTGAGTATATCTGTTATTTTAGCTCCTTTAGATAAAAGGAACATTTAAGCTTTGTAGTGTGGGGTAGCTCCACTGCAAGGGTTAAAGGAGAACTATGAGGTGAGTGCTTTTCACTCACCTCATAGTTCTAGCCGACCTGTGACAATGAGACAGTCACAGGTCGGCTCAGTAGATCGGGAGGTGAGCGAACACATAACCGCGTTCGCTCACCTCTCGATCCTGTCACGGCTCTCTGCCGTGACAGGGGGAGGGGCTGGATTCCCCTCT